CCAGCTCAAGCTAAGAAGCACTGTGAGTTTCAGCTATTTCTTCCAGATAAAGCCCAAGGGCTGCTGATGCTCAGATTCAACTGGCTGGGGGAGTTCCAATGACCTACAAAGTCTTCAAACTTGGCAACAAAAACCTGAGCTAAAAAAAACCATTTCTGGATTTTGGTCAACTTCTGCAAAAGGTTTTTAGCTTGGGAAAATATGAAAATACCCCAACCATTCCTTTCAACTATTCTGGACCATTTGCTTTTAAATTTGGATTGTAATGAGGCAAAACTGCTACAGAAGATACACAGGATATGATAACTATTGCAGTGAATGCAACATCTAAGGATACTGGTAGACATATTCTACCTAAATAATAAATGGCTAAATTTTAAGCTAACTAACATCTACAATCTCTTCACATACATTTCAAAGATTTATGGCACGTTCATTAGATACTCTGCGTAATGAAGCAAAAAGACCACCCCATATTCAGAATGCACATGGACAAGTATTTAAAAAACTCCAGTTATCCAAGTCCAAAGCAAAATTAAAGAAGCTGAAGTAATTCAAATCGGTTCTATGTAGCAAGTTCAGAGAAAGGCTATTTATTGCTTATACTTCCAGTCTGTAAAATGCACTTCGTTCTTGCAAAGCCATTACACAAGGAAGATATTTAGACTATGACAGATCTGTAGCTGACCAACAAGACATGAACAGCTACTACAGTGCCAGGTACCCCTTCACCTTCCAACCTCCCACTATGCTGCAGGGAACAGACAGCAAGTAACATTCACACTATGTTGTTTAATGAGTTCAGCAAACAGCATCTTATAAGTTTCAGAAAGCACTGACCCACCATACATGGGTGTCAGACAGGCTGGCTCTTGAGCAAGGCCTGAAGTTGCAGTAAATATACCCTTCAATGCAAAAAAAACTTCACTAAGAACATAAAACTAGGTAAAACAGTTATAACTGTAGAGTGGAGAGGTTCTTTTCCATTTCTTTTTAGAAGATTTATTCTTAATGCATGCAAAATCTAAGGAGAAAAAAAATACCTCAAAATACAGCAGTCCTTACATTTTCAGAGACATATAAGTTTAAGCCACCCCATTCTACTTCAGGTATCAGTTTGCTCAACCAACACTGATAGACTTTTTTAACTCACTTTCAATGTAAGCCTTCATCAGATGGCAGTGCACTGATAACACTGATTTGGAGTAAGTTCAGATATTATGAGCCTTAGCACATGTGCATCCGAAACTTTCTACAGCTAATAGTAAAATACTCACTTCATAAAGGGTGTAAGTTAACTGATTCAAAATGTGGACGTGAGGTTTTATGAAGACTTTGTACACGATGGGTTCCCCTTCTTGAGGAGCTGGGAACACCACGATAAACAAATGAAGATGAAAGTGGAAGTAAAAAAGCAAGCTATGAGATATGCATCAGCACCAGCATGTGGTACAGGACTACGTTTGATGATGTAGGCCACAGCAGGCTTTACTTCTAACCTTTTAATGCATTAGATTTTTTAATGCACAGTATTATATTTGCATACATGCATATATAAGAATATATGACCTCTGGAGAGTGCAAGCCACCCTGCTGAAAAGCACACTGTCACTTCTGTGAAGGAATTCCCTTCCAGCAAACTTGAGGACATTAAAACTCGTCTGTATTTTGCTAAAATCTCATTACTTTTAAAACTCAGCAAACAGAGATATGCAAATACTAACTAATCTAATTCCAGGGATTCCCATAAACCACTTTCAAAAAAGAAAAATATGCATATGAACAAATAAAGAGCTTTTAAAAAGCAGGCCAGTCATTGGAGTCTGCAGTATGCAGAAAAAATTACCATGACTGGCACATGATGAGACGGGCTGAGCAGGGCTATCAGCAGTGCACAGTCACACAGGATGACACTATCTGAGCTAGGATGACAAATGACCTAGCAACATGAGCAGTTTACAAAGAGGAAAAAAATCATGTATTTTTTAGGGGGGGAGGGAACAAAGAAACAGTGGAAGGGATTAACCATTAACAAACTTCTCTTCAAGAGGCCTAGGAGCTCTCTATCCAGTCTGTATGTCAAGAGCAGCCTTTTGGACACTTGAATTGTGAGGCAGCAGCTTCGCTTCACGTCATCCTACTTGTGATAAAACATCCCCTTTGTCCTTTCCCCACAGCTCCTTATGCCTTGTTGGCTAAAGAGCAGAGCAAGGAATGTTGAGTTTACTGCCAGAATCTTCTTGAAGCAACTTTTTAAATGTGAAGCACTGAAGAATAACACAGCTCCCCCTTAGCAATAAATCATCAAAAAGAGACAGTAATCAAGAGAGGGTAACCTCTGAACTGTATGTTACATTTTTCCACCTGCACTGTCTACTAAAAGAAAGATCAAAGTCGGGTATTCTGTACAAAAAACCATCCCAGTGAATACACAATATTGAGAGAGCCAGCTATGCATATGTGGAGTCTTAAGTCAGTTAATTAACTTTTTATACATTTATAGGACCAAAAAAAAAAATCAAACTACTCAAGCTCCAGTAGAGAGAAATCCACCATTATCATTCTCTGGAATAAGTCACTTGTTAAATTCAAACTCTTTCAGCATTCCCTTCTCCTTCAGATATCACCTCACCAACAGTTGTGAAGTATTATAGGATGGACAACATCTGACGAGGCACTACTGGCGTAGAGATCAGACCTTGCTAAAACCCACTGCTAAGGACGTGGCATTTCTCCCAGCATTCTTCAAAAAACTGCTAGTGAATTGGGAATGTAGTTGAACCATATGAGGAGCAATCTAAAGGCACGATCTTCAAAGCAAATTTGACAAATATTTCTTTATAGAGTAACACTGGCAAACCCCAAACAGTCCCACTTCCACCAGTACCAACATTTCCAGTGTTCACTCTGAGCTGTCACCCTCCCTCTTTTCCTCTCTCTCTCTCTCTCTCACAGTGCCTGAAGCAAGACTTTCAACAATGAAAAACACCCATCTCTTAACAACCTGGAAACAGCTCACAGGTGACTTAAAGGATTTACAAGTTGCTGTCCTACTCCAGCAGCTTGCACCCACCCAAAACAAAACAAAAGTTTCTAACGAATTTTCCTCAACATGAGCCATGTTACCTCAGACATTGCATGCATCACCCCTTGGCTCCCAAAAGCCCCCTCCCAAAGCCATGGCTTGCTGGAGATAATCTCCATGCTTCCAGAGGAAGGGCAGCAGATCCACAACAAAAGAGCCATTCTAAGCACAGCATCTCTACGTGGCCTGTGTGTACTGACAGCTGGCAGCCAGCAGGCTCCTCAGCGACTGTTCATGTTGTGCCTCTATCCATACTAAGATAAGAGCAAAGTACAAAAATGAATCCAAAATTGTGTACTCCTGTCAATAGTTAAGGATGGCTTGTCCACTAAAAACATGGCATTTCACAAGCAACAGTCCTAGACACAACAATGAAACAAAACACATAAATACTACAAGAGGCAGCTTGTTAGACCAGGATACAACTCAAGGATTGAAATGCAGAATCACACAATGGGATTTTGGGATAGAAGGGACCTTAAAGCTCACGCCATTCCATCCCACTGTCATGGGCAGGGTTTCCACTCAGCATCTCAGGCTGCCCAGAGCCCCATCCAACCTGGCCTTGTGATGGGGCACCCACAGCCCCCGTGGGCAGCAGTGCCAGGGCCTCACCACTCCGTCAGTAAAAAATTTCATACCACAGTTTAAAGAGGAGAGATGGCAGACATGGTCCCTGATCCAACAAGTGAAACAACCCATAAAGATTGTTATTTTGCCATAATTACTAAGATACAAAAAGTTACCATCTTGAAAGCACACTGCAGCAGGCACACGCGCACTTACTATTTTCCCCTCTGCCCTTCTTCCCACCAAGACAAAACCACATGAAGAACACAGCACAAACCCACACTGATCTGACTACAGGAGCCAGTGGTACCAAAGCAGAACCCCACGCCACCAGGCAGAGACACACACTGCTGTGCTGGACAGCCCTGCGCTGGAAGAATTCATCTTTCATGGATCAACAATTGGTTCTTTCATCTCTCTGGCTTCCTCAGACTATTATGTACTCTTTCCATCTCCGATCTCCATTACACTCCCAGTTTTCAGCTGCATGTAGCAAATACATCTGAAAAACGCACAGAAATTAAAAGAAATAATCTCAACCAGAAAGGGAATCCATCATCACTTGGCCGGTGCCAAGAACTGACTTAACACAAAACTGTGATAAAATCACAGCCACATAAGCTATGAGAAAAATGTGAAGGCAAAGTGAGGCACAGCAGGAGCTCCTTCTGGCTGAAGACCAAGGCAGTCCATGGAAACGAACCCCTGACATCAATGACCTCTCACGAAGCAAAGTTTAAGGGCTACATACTTCAGCTAATCAAAAACTAAAGCGAAGTATACATTAAGCTGCATCTTTAATATCAAGCTGAGCTCCGATAAGCCAAAAGAACAGCACGTTCCGTCATCCTTGAACCAATGGGAACGCGGTGCTTCTGAGCATCACCGCAGAGGAAAAGAGGGAGAAAGAAAGTCCCGCGGCTCCTCGCAGCGGTGCCCCACGGTGGGAGCACGGGCAGCGGGCAGGAGGCCGCGGGAGCAGCGCTCCGAGCAGGATCGTCCTTCCAGCCCCTACCCCGCGGCGCTCAGGCAGGTGACCGCCCGGCAGGTGACGTGAGCTGCCTGCCAGGAGCGCCGATCTGGGCCCCGAGCCGGCTGCGAGACGTTGGAGTCAGCCGGGCCTCTACGGCGTGTAAAGATAACGAGCATAAGGAATAAGGAGCATGAACAACGAGCACAAATACTGCCGTCTCACGGCACCGGGGCAGGCAGGGAGAGCTGCGCCCCGCGGTGATGCGGAGGGGCCGCGCTGCCGCCCGTAGCGCCCCGGGGAAGGAAGGGGCGCCCACCGCAGGGAGGGAGAGGCAGAGAGGGGGAGAGGGTGGGAGCTGCCGCCTGCCCTCACCGTCGATGTTCTCCCGGTCGCTGATGTGCTGCAGGTTGCAGCCGGTGTCCTCCCGGCTCAGGTCGGCCTCGGGGCGGTAGGACTCCAGCCGGGAGTGGGCATTCCGGCGCAGCTTGGGGCTGGACGAGACGCAGCAGGAGGTGGTGTTCCCCATCTTCTCGGCCCGGCCCGGCGGGGAGGAAGCGAGGGGCGGCCGCTCAGCGGGGCCGGCGAGCGGCCATGGGCAGCGGAGCGGACGAGGGGGAGAGGCGGCGGCGGCGGCGGCGGCTGCGGCGCCCTGCGGCTGCGCTCCCCGGAGGATCCCGGCGTTGGCTCATCCGCGGCGGCGGCCCCGCGGCGCGGTCGTACGCCGGCGAGGGTTGCGGCAGCTACGGAGCGCGGCGCGGGCGGGCGGCGCAGGGCCGGCCGAGGCTCAGCCCCATC